GCCTGCCCTTTATTACCATCACCAACCAACCCTAGGACCATTAGCATCCTCCTCCTCCTCCTCATCATCCTCACCATCACCAAAGCATGCATCTTTTGAGCTCTTACCATGAACCATCTACTGATCTAAATTATAAATGGGTCTAAAAACTCCTAGCAATCCCATGAAGTCAGTGCCATTCTTTCCCCAGTTTTCAGATGAGGGGTCAAGTCTCAGCRAGGTTAAGTCACACACTAAGGTCACATAGCTCCTAGGTGGTGGAGTCTTCATTCAGATCCAGGAAGCCTGCCCTTGGCAGCTGTGCTCTTGACCATGGTGCTTTACAGATGCCAAGTCTCAGATCCTGTCAGCAGGGTGACAGAGCCATAATTATGCCATTGTTTTGGTTCATTTCCTTGAAGGAAATAAGAACGCTTCTGTTACAGGAACTATTTCTGAGACCTTGTACTTCTTATGAAGGGTGACCCAAGGAAGTCAAGTAGTACCTCTAACTTGAAACTTGAGATCCCTGACAAATTTAATGGCCAAGAATCAGCAAAGAAGCTTAACCTACTCTCTACCGTTCCCCAAACCACTTCACTTCTGAGGAAGAGAAGAGAAATAGTCTGGATCCCTTACAGATGTTCATTGTTTCAACATTTAAAAAGCACGTGTGTTATCCAATGAGTGCCGGGAAATCTTGCCAGAGGCGTCCAGACATCCCAATCCCCACTGTGCAGTGGGAGAAGCTCAGGCTTAGGGAGGTGAAATGACCTCTCCAAGGCCTCCCAGCCAGTGAAGGGACAGCATCAGGTACGTCTCATCCTGGTCCATTGCTCATTCCCTGTACCCAGCTGTGAAGTCTTTGGCAAAGGGACATCTGGATCAAATGCCACATCCATCCGCTCTCACACCCTGGGATAGACTGCACAGGGCGAGGCATTCCAGGGAATCTCCCTGAGGATCATCTCCCAGGGCTTCTTTCATCCTCCATTGCCCCCTCCACCCAAACTCCACATTGCAGGCTCAGCTTCTGGCTTTTGGCCACTTCTGGCCTCCCTCAGCCGAGACTTCCCCTTTATGCTGGTTATTGCACCCAGATCACTCCTGCCTCCCTTTCCCTCCCTTCCCCCTGGATCTTGGACACCTCTGCAGCCTCCTGCCAGTCACACCAGCAGATCCAGGTGCTGCTTCCGTTTGCCTCCACCTGTCTTATTCCCTTTTCCACTTTCAGTTTCGCATGTGCTTGACTTAGATGGTCACTGCTTTCTCTGCCCCACACCACACCCCTGGAACGGTTTCTCACTTGTCCCTGCCAAAAGCCTCGGTCCCTTCTTAGAAGATTACCTATGGGGGCAGCCACAGGGCTGATGTGAGGCCATCACCCCTGCCCAGCCTGGGGTCTCCAAGGCAACAAGAACCAAACATCAAAATAACCAATTCCTAGGTCTCAGTGAAGACAAAGATTCTTCAAGGGATTAGGATTCTAATGAAAGCAGTTCTTTGAGCCCTACCTATGAATCACCTAGTCAGTGAAGCACAAATAAATCTCTTTTGAGAAACAGGCAAATAACCTGAGAGATTGAAGTGGCCTGATTGGAGCTTGAGGCAGGAGCAGGTGTGAGAAATGGGGTGCAGAGAATAGRGGAAGGAAACTTTAGGGGGTAAAGGGCCCAATTATGTGCATCCACCTGCTCAACAGTTCTGAGAGCTCCTGGGGGGTCGTGTCCCCCTCATACCATTTCCTGTCCCTGGGATTGTATCAAACACAATGCCCTTAATATCATGTGTGCAGTTTTCTAATTATGCTAGATACAACATATTTCCAAATGTCCATTTCACATCTTTCAAATAACTCATCCTCTTACCTTCTTCCCATTTCTCATTTAGTTTTGGAACTCACATTGGCACCAATTGTTCATAAACAGATAATCCTTTACCAGAAATAGGATTCTTCTGTTTTGGTTTAGTTCTGTGTCCAGCATACAGAAGATATCTAATAAATGTATTTTGAATTAAACTGAGCTAGATAAAGAAATGTGGGTTTGAACGTTCAATTGACAGCTCAATTTTTCTTGGGATGAGTAAAATTTGCAAATATTTCAATGTGGAAATCAAGAAAGTACATAAAGTCCACTCTTAACCTGCGTGAGTTCTTGGGGACCTTACAACCCAGGGGAGTCCCATTTCCCCTACTAATTCAAGAAGCAAATTCACYCAAGCCTTTCTGTATTTTGCAAATTCTGCAAGAAAGATGTGAGATTGACAAGGGACAGACAGCAGCCTTGTGTTTACTCACCAGCCGGTCTGTCTGCGGCTTCCATCCAGAATTCTTGTGCCATTTCACCTTCTGCAGGGCAGCCAACAGGGAGAGGAAGCATCTCTAAGAGAGAGTGGCAGGCAACTGGGGTCACCTGTTTCTCCCTGCAGCTTTGGTGTGGCTGCCGGTTGGCCATGGCCCAGAGCCAGTGTGGGTCTGACTATTTCAGTCCTTTCTTCTTTCTCCTCTCCATACTCCTGGCTCATTCAGGAATACATGGTGTCGCTCCTTTTTGACCTTGCATTGCCTGGACGCAGACAGTGGGGACACGTTGTCTGCCGCAAACAAATCTGTCTGGATCATGGAGATGATGCTCTGCTCTGGACACCTCAGAACAATGGTGCTTCTTTCAGAGACCTCGGAAGCTGTGGTCCTGTGTCTGGAGATCATCCATGATTCCTCTCCATTTCTATTCCACAGGACGTTCAGCAGGGTGGGCTGCGCTTCTCTCAACCAACTCAGCTTGCTTTGGCTGCTTCTCAGCTMTGCCTTCTCCAGGTTAGCCCATCTGAAGATGGGCTCTCTGTGATAGTCTGACTCCTGAGGCTTCCTTGAAAGATTTCCTTCTTGCTTCTTTTCCTTGTGTTCTTATCCCTTTTATTAAACATGCTGCTCCTTGTCTCCACATCTCTCCATTTCTCCAATCTCTCTGCATCGACGGGAATTCTGCATTTGCTTTTTCTGCTAACCCAGTTCTTGAATCCTCTCATCCTTAGAACCTAAACATGCTCCTTTGTTATTCTCTCCTTCAAGACTCCATGAAGCAACCCTGGCCGATCAGTGGATAAGACCAAAGAGATCGCAGGACGTTGCTGGCATTTAGTCTCCGCTCAGGGTAAAGCCTCCCTGGGTGGGAAGAAGAGTGTTGAGGAAATAGTGCCTACCAGGAGGCCAGCACTTTGGAGCAGGTTGGCAAGAGTTGGAAAGCAGGAGGCCTGTGCTGGTCCTCGCAGGGAGTGCTCATCTTTGAAAGCAGTCATCTTTCCATACAACCCAATCCCAGATGAAAGGAGACAGAAGCTCCCTGCTGACTGCTTCTGCCTAGCACAAAGTGCCTGCGTGTCTGGGTGATACCTGACTCCAGACCCGCCTATTTCTCCCCCTTTAATTGTCTTGGAAGAAAACAAAGAAAATTTGATTTTATTACAAGTCTAGGGCTTCTTTGWGATGCTGTGGGGCTTTTTCATCTGGACGGCATTAAAATAAGTGGTGATAATGGTCTTGGGGAGTGTAGACGAAGGACCTTTTATCTGAGACTCAAGCTGAGCCATGAAAACTCAATGGGGAGAAAGACTCCAATAAGTCATCGTAAATGGCAGTTCTGGCTGGCCGCCAAAGCCACAGAGGAGGTTGGGGTGCTGTTACCTGCAGGTGGTACCTAGAGGTGCCTGTACTTATGCAACTTGTATCTATTCCCAACTCTGACTACCTTTTCCTTGCATCTTCCKGTGCTACCCTTCACCTCCTAAATCAATCCAAGTGACTCCAACTTGCCTTCCCAGATGCCCTACTTGTGGTGTGTCCAGGCCTTGGATTCAGTGACATAACCACAGTCCTCCTATGGTGCTTTAACACCTTTGAATAGGTTGTGTGTAAAGCAGCAGGGCTGGAGGAAGGATGCCCAGAACAGAATTGGGCACACGTTCCTGGTATATCCATTTCACTTAGAGAGTTGAGCAAAAGATGACAAAGTTTAACTGCAAATTTAAGTGATTTTTAATGTTCAAGCCAATGAGAACGTATTATGGAACTAGTGAAATTTTAAGATGAACTGATTTTATGCCTATGGAGGGCCCTTAGGGCTATCTCCTGACATTTCTAATATCCCCACTCGCTCTGTTCTGACACAGYGGATACCCGGTGAAAGCGTTTGATGAACACTACCTTATTGCTTTCCCATTAGCCTCCTGATACATTTCCTAGTGAGTTCAAGTGCATTTGCGTTGATTTTTCAACTCGTATTTTTCATCCTTCTTTCAAAATGATCTCTTTCTCCAGAAACTTCCCTGTTCTCAAACCAATTACCAAAGCCTCAACTTATAACATTATTTCCTCTACAACTCTCTTATGTGACAACAGGGGACATTATGTGGCACTACAAAACACAAAGSTGTTGGACCTTTTTAACCATGGTCCAAATCAATCCTAATCATTCGCCTCAAACATCCATCTCTGACTGTATGCTGCCTCATTTAAAGATYCTTCTCTCAGAGCAGACAGGGAGAGAGTCTACTGCTGACAGTTAATGCCACTTCTTTCTCAAACCAATCTGTCTCTCTCTGGAAATGCTGGGTGGGCCAGGACRTGAGGTTGATTATGGACCTGCAGGATCAAGTGACACAAAAGAATGACATGGCATGCACCAACACCCAATTAATGAGGGCTGGACCTGTGACCTCTTTGAAGATCTCCCACAGAACTCTGATTTCATGGGTGCACTGCCTGAAGAAGAGTCCTGACTTAGCAAGAAGCCCAAGTAAAGAATTTTATGGGACAAAGGACTCTTCTGAGGAAGGCAAATAACAGACTGAAGGAAAGGGCGTCKAAAACCAATGAAGAAGTACAAAGAAAAAAGACATTACATACTGTGTCCACACCCTCCGTGGAGGGGGTATAAAGGCCCATCCKGGGGAAGGAGACCCACAGCGCTGTGGCTCGCCTTGCATTCTGTCTTCAGCCGGACACCTCGCTCCCTCCCAGCACCATGCCTTACAACTTCTGCCTGTCCAACGTGAGCTGCCGCAGCAGCTGCTCCTCCCGGCCCTGCGTGCCCCACAGCTGCCATGGCTGCACCCTGCCCGGGGCCTGCAACATCCCCGCCAACGTGGGCAACTGCAACTGGTTCTGTGAGGGCTCCTTCAACGGCAGCGAGAAGGAGACCATGCAGTTCCTGAACGACCGGCTGGCCAGCTACCTGGAGAAGGTGCGCCAGCTGGAGAGGGAGAACGCGGAGCTGGAGGCCCACATCCAGGAGCGGAACCAGCAGCAGGAGCCCTTGGTGTGCCCCAGCTACCAGTCCTACTTCCGGACCATCGAGGAGCTCCAGCAGAAGGTGAGGGGGCTGGCTGTCATCTGTAAGCAAGGAAGGATGACYGTGATGTGATCCTCCATCTGGGGTAGAGAAGTGTTTCCTGCTTCTTGGCTGCCGTGATTCTTACCTTCAAAATGTCTCTTAAAGCCATTCTAAAGAAGTTGGTGGTTTGGTCCTGACTTCCCATCCTCACTAAGCCATCTCTCCTCCCCAGATCCTGTGCACCAAGTCTGAGAACTCCAAGCTGGTGGTGGAGATCGACAACGCCAAGCTGGCTGCCGATGACTTCAGGACCAAGTGAGTTCACACTTGTTTCYTTTACTTTGGTTTAACCTCTCGTGAAATGGGATTTCCATAGCTTTACTGAACAACTGGTCAACCCCGTTAGTTGTGAAGAAGATGGGAGGGAACCACGTAAAGGAATCACAAAAACAGAGGGCAATGGTGGGTCTCCATGGAGCCTCCACAACTCTCTGTTTCCTGGGTCTACTCATTTCAGAAAGAGGGAAGACCAAGCAAATGAGATTACCAAGGATGGTTCTTTTGAGTCTTGAAGATCTGCCAGTTGCTGATCTGCCCCTATCCTCCTGCAGGTTTGAGACGGAGCTGTCCCTGCGGCAGCTGGTGGAGTCCGACATCAACGGCCTGCGCAGGATCCTGGACGAGCTGACCCTGTGCAAGTCTGACCTGGAGGCCCAGGTGGAGTCCCTGAAGGAGGAGCTGCTCTGCCTCAAGAGGAACCACGAAGAGGTGAGGCCAGAAATGTGAGATCAAGAAACCTGACTCAGTCTCAAGAGGGTGGCTTTAGGAATTTGGTGCAGAACCAATATGAGGCTGAGGATGTCTGTAAGAATTTTGTTTGAAAAAAAAAAAAAAGCCTTATGAGGAAAGAAGAATTGGAGAGAGAAAACCTGTGCATGTCCCCAAACAGGATACACCTTTTACTCCAATCCCCTGCACCATTTCTTTCTAGAGTATTTCCATTTGCTGGTAATTGGTCACCAAGTTGTGGAACGAGTCCTGGTATTACTGTTATTAGTGCAAAATAATTCTTATTTCTCCCTCAAAGGCCAAACAATCAAACAAACAAAATATGACTGAGCTTGTGGGTCTCCACATTTCCTAAGTCATGGTGAAGAAGGAGTGGGGACACTTTCTGTYTCTTTGGAGGGGCTATTCATTGGATATGCAATCTGAGATGGTACCAAAGTTTTGTTTTCTGGCGTCCTCACAGCCAATCTGGGAAAACGTGCATCTATCATTCTATCCTTCAGTGATACCYAAGCAAATCCTTGGGAATTCTTTTTGGAGCCAAGTCCCATGGCATGGCCACGGTGAGGAGGTGCTGGGCCACATGCAGACCATCTTGCCTAGAGCTGTCACAGACTGCTTTGCTCAGTTTTCTTTCTGAAAAAATAGACTAACAGGGCATCAACAAGCAATGCCATCTCTGAGAGTCCAATCATTGAGGACAGTAACTCTTACATTTTTTTGCATCCACAGGAAGTCAACACCCTGCGCTGCCAGCTTGGAGACCGCCTCAACGTGGAGGTGGACGCTGCCCCCACCGTGGACCTGAACCAAGTGCTCAATGAGACCAGGTGTCAGTACGAGGCCCTGGTGGAGACCAACCGCAGGGAAGTGGAGGAGTGGTTCACCACCCAGGTGGGCATCCGAGCACCTGACCACTCGGGATTCAAGACCCCTGGGCCTTTAGGGCAGGGTCTGATCCTGTCTCCTCCCCTTGGGTGTTTCAGACTGAGGAGCTGAACAAGCAGGTGGTGTCCAGCTCAGAGCAGCTTCAGTCCTACCAGGCGGAGATCATCGAGCTGAGACGCACRGTCAACGCCCTGGAGATTGAGCTGCAGGCCCAGCACAACCTGGTGTGTATTGCAAAATTGGGGAGCAGAGTCACCTCTGGGCCTCACACTCTCCTTAGCCCTTGGAGCTGGTGACTCTGTGAGCCCATGGAGAAGCTCCTTAAAGGGGGRGCAGCTCTCTGACACCCCTTTGTTTTCCCCACTACAGAGGAATTCTCTAGAAAACACACTGACAGAGAGCGAGGCCCGGTATAGTTCCCAGCTGTCCCAGGTGCAGGGCATGATCACCAACGTGGAGTCCCAGCTGGCTGAGATCCGGGCTGACCTGGAGCGTCAGAACCAGGAGTACCAGGTGCTGCTGGACGTCCGGGCCCGGCTGGAGTGTGAGATCAACACGTACCGGAGCCTGCTGGAGAGYGAGGACTGCAAGTGAGTAACAGCTCTCATGAGTACACTACTCCGTGGCACTCTCCAAAGATTACATACCTTGGGAAGGAAACCATGCCTTCACTCCAGGCATGCTCAGACAGCATTTTTCTTTCTCCCTCAAAGGCCAAAACAAACAAACAACAAACAAAATATGACTGAGATTGTGGGTCTCCACATTTCCTAAGTCATGGTGAAGAAGGAGTGGGGACACTTTCTGTCTCTTTGGAGGGGCCATTTGTTGGATATGCAGAAAACACATTATGGCCATCATTAACCACATCAAATAGTTTGGAAGCAAGAATTATTTGATGTACATATGGAAATTGTACAACTAATTCTTTGTATTCTACTATGATAGTATATATGATCGCCTGATATGTGATCAATGATGTCTTACTGTCTACAATACTGTATTGCATAGAGGGGATCTCTCTATACACTATCCTATCTGGCCTTATAATTTAACCCCTGGCCAATATTCTCCCCATTCTATATGTGACTTGCCCAAAGTCACCAGCTGGGAATGGACCAACATGGGGTAGAAGTCAGAGTTTCAGGGTTTCTATCCAGTGCTTTTGGCGCTCTGTGATAGGGAGAGCGTTAGCAATTTGATAATGTGCCGCAGTGCAAGGTAGGCCTTCTCTGTTCTAGGCCGGGCAGGGTCCTGATAGGTGTTCCACTCTTGGGGTCTCTCTGGTATGTGATTTTTACATCCCCCTCAATTTACCTTGTCATTCTTTGTCTCTAGGCTTCCCTGCAACCCCTGCGCCACAACCAACGCATGCGGCAAGCCCATTGGGCCGTGTGTTGCCAACCCCTGCACTCCCTGCGCGCCCCCTGCCCCTTGCACACCTTGTGTCCCGCGCTCCCGCTGTGGACCCTGCAACTCCTTCGTGCGCTAGAATCCAGCAAAGCCAAAGGGGCAAGGACACTGGCCTGGGGGCTCCAGAGTGTTGACCTGGCTCTGGTTCCTTCAAGAGAAAGGGCCTGAAAACACAGTGGAAAGACTGACGCTGCCCCAGGGAGGCACAAGAAACTCACCGAAAGCCTCCAGCCACTCCAGCCTACTCCAGACCCGCCATCAGGGTCTGTTTCTTCCTTTGCTTACTCAGAGAACCCTCTGAAGTGCCAGCAGCCCTTCCTTGTATCCCAATAAAGGCAATTTTCATGGCAAAGCAGATGCCTTTCTCTTTGGTATGCATTCATTGCCACTGTCAGCATCAATTGGGGACTCTATAAAAAGCCACTTGAAAGACCACACAATGGCCTGACTCTTKGAGACAAGAGCCATTCCATGCCTGGCAAGCAGGCATGTCTGGCCTGGTGCCCTGGACCCAGGAAGGAGGCAGAGAGGCCAGCAGAAAGCAGGGCAGGGTGCTGCCACCCGTATCTCCCCTTGACCATCCCTGGCTTTTCCTCTTGACCTGGCATTTCCCAAAATTGCTAGAGTCCTGAGCTGGGAACCGGAAAGAGGCTCTGGAAAATTTGTCTTTTCCCAGTAGGAGCTTTGGGTCCAGTGCTGCATGATTCTGGACCAGGCAGTCCCAGCAGCACCCTGTGAAGGGACCCCCCCTGGCTTTTCTTGCCATGACCAGTACCTCCTCCTCTYCCCTGTGTGTGTAGATGGTTATCACCTGGGTCACCAGCTGCTCTTCCTCCCTCCCTGGCTTTGGGTCTCAGAGACCCCATCAACTCTTCAGTTGATACTTTGGCCTTTCTCCATTCARTTCAGCCAATACCTGTTGAATTCCTACTAAACAGATGATTTTAGGCTTTGACGCCTTTAATCTATGTCGGCAAAGCATAGTCCTGTAAACTGAAGTCCTCAAATGAGTTGAAATTCTATCTATCCCACGGTGGTTGTGCCATTTAAAATTTTTCCTAGAAATGCACAGGGTCCCAATTTCTCCCCATCCTTGCCAACTCTTGTTATGTTCTGTTTGTTTTTAAATAATAACCATCTTAATGGTTATTACAGTGGTTTTGTTTGCATTTCCCTGATGATTAATGATGCTGAGCATCTTTTTCATGTGCTTATTGGCTATTTGTATATCTTCGGAAGAAATATCTCTTCAAGTCCTTTGCCCATTTTTAAGTTGCACTGATAGTTTTTTTTTTTAATGTTGAGTTGTAGGGATTCTTCCTAAATCTGATGATCCCCATCAGATATAGGATTTGAAGATATTTTTTCTACTATGTGATTTTCCTTTTTACTCTCTCAATAGGGTCCTTTGATGCATAAAAGGTTTTTAATTTTGATGAAAGTAATTTTATTTATTTATTTTTTCTTTTGTTGCTTGGGCTTTGGGTGTTATCTTAAGAAATTATTGCTGAATCCAATGCCTGGCAATTCCAGAGCTCTTTGGTGCCTTTTTTTTTTTTTTTCGTGGGGGGCTCTTGGGCTGTTCACTTGCCCATCACTCTTGAATGTTTTATTTTCCCCCAGCTTATCATCTGAATATTTTTTTCTGATTCTTTTACTTTCTGTTTCTCAACAGATTTTATATTTACTATAGCACAGGGCAAAGGCATTTTTTTTCCGTCCTTCCATCTGGGGTCAAAGCCATCATCTGAGTTCTTTGAGGCCAGAGGCTGCGGTCAGCATCTTCAGGAAGAACAGCCGGRCTGCCCAGGAATGCACAGTATTTTCCTTTAAAAAAGCCCATCCCATTATTTCCAGGAGTCATGCCTTATCACAAGCCTGTGGGATTTGTCACTTTTAATCCCCCTCCCCCGCCCCCGTTTACTGCACTGTGCAGGAAACCTGGGTGTGTCTTCTCATCTGTGTGCTCAGAGCGGCATTGGAATCCATGATCCCTCTTTTGCGTGTTCTCCCAGTTCCTGTGCTTGGCCACACCCTGGCCTAGGTTCGGGTCTCGTCTCTCTAACTTGCAAGTGATATGATGATCCTGACAGAMCCGAGTCTATTTACGTGTGTCAGTTTTGGACAAGTTAAGTTTCCTCCCAATGTCTCAGATACTTGATCTCTATACACGGTGACAAGAACGGAATCTGAACACGCAGGGTTTGGGGTCAGGATGGAACACTATGCAGGAAGGTACCTAACAGACTATCTGACTAGAAAGTTATGGGTTGATATTTGTTTCCTTCCTACCTTGCTGTCGGAGCCTTAGTTCTCTTCTCCGTCAACTCCCATCCTTCTAGTTTTGGAATTCATTGCTTTCAAAGAATCAAAGAACTTAGTTCTCAGGTGAACTTTTACAAGGTTAATTGTTTAGGTTTAGGCAGGTAGGCTTTCTTGCAGGTTCTAAATTACCTTAGGTCATGTGTTGTATATTTTCATTTGCTTAGAGGCTTAGAAAAGACAACCTAATTTCTAACATGGACATATCAACCCATCGTGCAGAAGGATGGCTGTGAGTATGGAGATTCTTCAGAAACTTGTTGTTTTGTTTTTTTAATGGTCACAACATAATGCCTTTATTTTTATGTGGTGCTGAGGATCAAACCCGAGTTCCGTCCATGCTAGGTGAGTGCTCTATCGCTGAGCCACAATCCCAGCCCAGAAACTTGGTTTTAATTTAGGAAAGTATCATAGAGATTAGCTAGGTGGCTTGAGCAGAGAGGCCCTTGGAAGACTGATGAGGCATGGAAGGGGTGGAGTATGGGGTTACAGAAGGGACAAGAAGGGAAAATTATAAAGTGAAAGGGCAATGGAAAGTAATGAATCCAAGATTTCCTTCCCCTCACTAACTCAGAGAAAATGCTGCCAAATATAAGATTTTTGTACTGCRTTTTGGTGTTCCGTCTCAGAAGTCAGAGATACCTGAGTTGTTCAAATCCTAGCCCMACTACTCATTGACTCTATATTAGGCAAATTCGGATACTTTTCCAATTTGTTTTGTTATCTGTAATGGGAATAATTAGGCAACCTCACAGTGATGCTGGGAGAATCAAATGAAAAATGTGTTGATCCTTTTGTATGTTTTTGCTTATTACCTTGTTTGGCATATAATGAGGATTCAGGAAATGGCYGAACCCTCATCCTCCTCCTCCTCCTCCTCATCATCATCATCGTCATCGTCATCATCTTCAATACTACCAGCATCATTATTTCAAATACTTGCACAGAGCTGTAAGGCTGGGGATTCCTAGAGGATGAGTATAGCCCATTTCAATGCCAGTAACAGAAAGGAGGCCTTGGTGGCAATACGACTCCACGTAGAAAATTGTGCTCTTCAAGAACCACCCCAAATTAGGTGACTAAACCYATAAGATCAGGAATTTAGCACAGAAGCTAGAAGATGATAGTCGTCTGTGAACTTCCTATTCCTGATGTCAACATTTGCTGTTTTTTTTGGTTAATCCATGAATACAGTTCTGTGTCCCTAGTGCTTACAGGGCAAGTGAGATTTGATCACCACTGAGTGAACATGGGCAATGGGCCTGGGTGTCTGCTTAACAAAGTAGACTTTTCCCAGAATTCTTCATCTGAACCATCTGGGATGGCAATAGGAAGGATGAAGCTTACAGAAATTATTGTCAGTAYTCCATCCCCCAGCTATGTTCACAAATACCATCTTACTCAACCCTCACAAAAATCTGGCAGTTAGGCAGCACTCTTACTTACTTTAATTTAAAAGATGAGGAAAACAAGACTCAAAAAAAAAGGAACTGACTTCTCTGGGTTCCTACCTTAGAAATGTGAATTATTTAACTTCTAATGTGTTTTCTGGGAAGTGATGCCGGCAATCAGGTGAAATAGAAAGCCTAGGTCCTCTTTGCTCCCATGGAWGCACCAATTCACAGATCAATTCTCTTTGTGAGAAATACAGTAACTAATTAAGAGGCTCTTGCACCCAGAGTGAATGAAACAAGCCAGACTAAAGCTGGTAGAAAGATTTAAGACACCTCTTCTTGGTATCTTTTATCCCCAGTAGAGTGCCACATGCCTAGAAGGAAATAGCTTTTCTGCAGTGAGGGAATGCGGGAAGCTACTGGAGAATTACTTGAGGGTCTTCTCTCGGCATGGTAGCCAGGGAGATTTTARGTTTAAACTTGGGAACTATCTGAGGCTCTCCCACACAGTAGATTGCCCAAGGCACATGACCTTTATCTCTGCTCTACTAGGAAGTAGCTCCGGAAATGGGCGCAACCTGTTGGGAACTGGTCAGCCCACCAGTAACCATTTTTTGGTGAAGAACATTGCATAACATGTGCGTGTTTACAGCAGCACAATTCACAACAGCCAAACTGTAGAACCAGACTAGGTGTCCATCAATAGATAATTGGATAAAGAAAATGTGGTATATATACACAATGG